GAAGAGGAAGAAGAGGAAGAAGAGGAAGAAGAGGAAGAGGAAGAGGAAGAGGAAGAAGAAGAGGAAGAGGAGGAGGAAATACAATGTGTGTAACAGATTCTAAATTACAGACACAGCATGCTGGAAACTTCTGTGTTGTGGATGGGAGATCAAATAGTCTACAACAATTATGAGGATTAAAATGCCATTATAAGCCTACTCATTTCTGCATATCTCTCTTGCCTTGTAATAAATCTAGGCATCCTTGGGAGGATAGAAGAAAATAGGCAGTGAAATTATTTAAAAATCTATGAAAGAATAAAGAGCAGATTTAAATTTTAAAAAGGAAAACATGTACAAGGAGCTATCTATGGAAATATTAGGGGCCGGGGAGATGGTTCAGTGGAATAAGTGCTTCCCTGGCAAGTGCAAGGGTCTGAGTTCAATTCCCAGTTCCTAAAAAAAAAAAGAGGAAATATTAGTATGGATATCAATACCTTCCAGGAGGAAGTGTTGTCAATGTCCCAGCAAACCCAAAAATTTGATGAGCAAATTCAAGATTAAGACAAATTTTCTGATGTTTTAAACCAATTAAATTCATTCAGTCACTCGAGGGCACTTATTTGGCTTTATGCTAGCCTGTGTGGGGTAATCTCTGTTTCTCTTTATTCTACGCATAGTCTGTCAAAGAAGGGCCAGCAACTTCTAGACCCATACATCCACTACTTACTTTGAATCAATGTCTATTACAAAAACAAAAAGGAGGAATTGATAGAGACCACTACTAAGCAGCTCTGAGCAGGATTTAAAATTAACTGATTGAGGGCCAACCAGATAGCTCAGCGGAGTAAAGCACCTGCGGGTTCATTCTGCGGAATGTCATGCCAGTCGCACCCCTGGGGCATGCTGAGAGGCTATTGAGACTGGGCGTGGTGGTGCATGCCTATAATCCCAGCACTTGGGGGCTGAAAACAGGAGGATCACTACGAGTTCGATCGGTGCAATGAGACCCTGTAGACCCTGTACTAAAATACATTTTTAGGAGCTGGAGAGATGGCTCAGTGGTCTAAAGCACCTCCTTAGAACAAGCTTAGCAAAGCACAGGGACCGCGGTTCAATCCCCCAGCACCACATGCCAGCCAGCCCCGCCCCCTGGTGGGCTGAGCTGGCCACACACACACACACACACACACACACACACACAATAAATAAAATTTTAAAAAAATAAAAATAAAATACATTTTTAAAAAATTAATTGATTGGTTTTGCATGTTTACTTGTAAGTCTGTCCAAGGCCTAGGCCCCTTGTCTGTTGTCTGGAGGTGGGCAATGGATTCACAGTAAGTGGACCTCTACCAATGACTTGTCCTGGCTGAGACCTGTAGTGGCCAATGAAGCTGTGATGCCTCCAAGGACAAGATAAAGCTGTTAGCTCCAACTTCAGTGAACTAAAAGGAGACTGCAGCTGCAGGCTCCATACTCATAAAATAAATATCAACCTAGAGATAAGACAGTTCTCCTAATTGACAGAATTTATTGCTTGGGAAAATATCTGAACAGACTCCCAAGGTCCTGCTCCAATTCCCACAATTTCCTCAGTATTCTCCTCTTTTGTTTGAAAACCAAATAAATACAGGCCACCCAGGGAAATTCTTCATCTCAAGGCCCCAGAAAATCTCAGTTTTTGTTACAGGGCTTTGACCTTCCTGGAGCTTTAAAATTGTAATACTTGCCTCTTTTATTTAAGGCTTCACCATCTACATGTTTCAGAGGTTGTGGGCCTGCTCAGTCCATGATAACTATCTCAGAATGAAAAATAAGCATCTCTTCTTGGCCTTTTGTCCAAGATCCAGTGTAATATCAAAATAAAAAAGGATGGAGGTGTGGCTCAGTACAAAGTTGCAGAGTGCCTGCGTAGTATGCACAAAGTCCTAGCACTACCAAAAAAAAAAAAAAAAAACATTGCCAGTGAGAGTCTCCATCTTCAGGAGAAAAAGTGGGAGAAGTGTGTCAGAAACTATGACACAGGGGCTGGAGAGATGGCTCAGTGGTCTAAAGCACCTACTTGGAACAAGCTTGGCAAAGCACGGGGACCACGGTTCAATCCCCCAGCACCACATGCCAGCCAGC